AGAATTTTCTTTATGTTTTGTTGACTTCTGTCTCACTTGCAATACCTGGATTTTCTACTTTGAATCTATTCTGTTGTTTTATGCTAAAACTATGGGCCACATTCTGTTCTTGGTTTTGCCAGTATAAACTTGGAGATACTGCACTAAGGTAAACCAAATTAAATCAATTGAATCCAAAGTAGAATTGCTCTCCATTATTTTCATCACTACCCTCTGTTGATTGAGTGGATTCCCTACCCAATATTTTGATTTTTGGATATCAGAAGTGTACAAGCTGTTGAAGGTGTGGGTAGATTTGTAAGTGACCAGACCAGGAGAAATCTGCTTTTTGTGATTCTCTAAAGCCAACGGAGCAAGGGATGAATTGAAATTCCTACAAGTGTTACATATATTTTTTTTATATGCAGTGTTGGTGCTCTCTCATATATTCTTTAGACATTCAGCACCTCGCAAGATTAGGCTTTTAGAAGGAATGTGATTCTTTCCCACCATATTTTCCCCTTTCTAAAGATGTAAGGGATGGGATTTCTATGCCCTTCAAAGATTAGATAATCTCTGTTGGTAGTGCATTTGCCAATGATGCCATCAGCATCTCTCATCATCAGAAAGTGTAGCCTGTGTCTTAAGAAAGCTGTAATTGAACAAGGAAGATATGGGAGTCTTCATGTGCAGGAAATTACAAGCTCTGCCCATAATCAAAGTTTCCCTCCTTCCCCTTCTTTACACCATCAGAAACCCTTCTTATCCCCTTTCTATTTAATGTCAGGTCTTCTCTTCTACCCTACAGCTGTGTAAAGAAATTCACACTGCTGGTGAAACTGCTGGAGAGGCAAGTTTTCACCAGTGTCACAGAAATACTTTTTTGGGGTATGGTTTCACTGCAAATGTGTTGCTATTTTTCTAAAAACAGAAAGTGACCTTTCTTCCTCCTCAGTGAAAATGGCAAAATATCTCCATGAAAGTAGTGAAGCCAACTTGTGGTGATTTGTAATGTTTTCCAGGATGGATTTTCTTCCACCTTCCATCAAAAATGGATCCTTGATCATACCTGTGAATACTTTTGAAAATATGGGGGTAGCGTCCATTTTTTTCCACATAAAGCATCCTACAGTGATAATTGGCCTGGCTTTGTTCTGCGCTCTGAGTGGTAATTTTTTGCAGGGCAGGGAGATAAATGAGAGGAGCCTTGCTCCAGCTATATCATTGGATAAAATATTGAATATTTAATATTCAGCATTTTCTCCTTGGAATTGCCCTTGAGCCTTTTTCTGAAGTCTAACACATTTTTTTTCCCTTCTGCATGCTCAATACCTTCATCCGTGCAAAGACCAAGCACTCAATCCTGCACCCACTGCAGTCAATGAGATTTTGGCATTGACGGTGGGTGCTGGCTCAGAACCCAATCCCTCCAGTTCTAAAGCCAGTAGGAGAAGGCATTACAGATCAAAATGAAGCGTGTCTTCCAGCTTGAGAATGGTGGACCACAGTCAGATTATCTCCCCCCATGGTAATGCATTCTAGCACCACAAGATTTATAGGCTGGCCCCTAATATTAAATACTAAAACCAGATTTTCCATTGGTGTAGCATAGTTCCTTTGACTTGACTTTACACCAGCAGAGGACCTAGTATTAATATTTCTTTAAAAAAAAATGGCTTCAATTAAGAGTATGTTGCAATCCTTTTTTTCCCTTTCCAGGTCCATAGTAATGACAGGAATGAAGAACAAAAGGTGGAAAGACCAGCAGGGGATAAGAGAAGAGTAGAGAATAGGTTAAACATTTTCCTTCAGCATTCATCAGGCCATGAGTCCAGAAAACAACAAGGAAAACCCACCACAAAATCACTGTAGGGTCCACACTTGTGGCCTTTACTCACATGTGTGGACTGCTCATGTGAGTGATCCTAATACAAGTAGCTCTGCTGACTTTAAAGGGACTTACTAACAGGAGTAATTCTTGCAGGATTGCAAGGTCATCTTGCAAAAATCATCTTGCGCTTTAATATAATTGTCTCCATAATTAAATTGTATTGTTATAGGACACAGCGTTTAACTATATTGTTATAGTTTCATAGCATTTAAACAGCAAATAGTAATTTATTCATCTGATTCATTTTTTCCACTGGCTGAGGGACTGTAGGTAAGTCAGCCTCTGAGCCTCAGGTTTTCCATCTGTAAAATAGGGATAATTCGCTTACCTACGTCACAGGGTGTTAGGTTTCTAATTAAACAATGGGCCTGATCCTGCAGTCCTCGCTTAGGCAAAACAACTCTTGAAGTCAGTGGTGATTTTAGCCTAGAAAGACTGCAGGGTCAGGATCAGTGTACAAGGCTTTGAGGGTGTAAAGTGTAATGGATTCGATCCTACAAAGTACTGAGCTCTCTGATGCCGATCCAGCAAAGCTCTTGAACGTGTGTAACAGGACTACTCGTGTGCTCAAGGGCAATAGGAACACTCATGCTCAAAATTAAGCACATGCTGAAGTGCTTTATTGAATCAGGGCCTATAAGTGTTGTGTGCTGCGGCTGTTAATTTTAATCCTGCTGGAAAACTGGGAAAAATTTGCTTTTCTGAAAACAAAGACAAGAAGAAACATGATTAGGGCTAGAGTAAGGGCCCCACTTAGAAAGCTGTTGTATCTGAGCTGAACTTTCCTGCTTAAAAAATAATTAGTAAAGGGAAGAGGCGGCAGGAAAGAAAACCTGTTGTTTTGATACTATTGTTCAGAATGAAGCAAATCTTTGATGAGAACCTGAGGACCTGATCCAATACCCATTAAGTCAATAGAAAGGCTCCCACTGAATATTAGTGGGAGTTAGATCCCCATAGGCATTTAGGCCAGATCCTCAGAGATATTTAGGCACTTAATTCCCATTTATTTTAATGGGAGTTATGCTCCTAAATATCTTTGAGGATTTGGGCCTTGGATAATAATTATTTGTATCTTTGCGAGGCCTGATCCTGCGAAGTGCTGAACACCCTCAACTCCTTTTAAACACATAAAAGTTGAGGGTGCTCAGTGGCTTGTAGAACCAGGTGCTGTAGAGTGGAGAAAGATGTTAGCACTTAGCAACACCCTGAATTCCTACTAGGTGCCTATGCCTCAGATGAGTGCGATGCACCTTATAGGATCGAGCCCTGGCAGGACGAGTGTGAAAGAGTTTAAGGTTTGCTAGTTATGGATGATCAGAATGTTATTGTTTGTTATTTATAACAAACTGCACTGCACTGCAAAGCCAGATAAGGAGACAAGGTCCTGTCCCAAAGAGCTTGCCGTCTAAAAAGACAGTAATAAAAATGAAGGTGGGGCTCAGGGGAAGAAAGGAAAAGCAGTGTGTGGGGGGGTAGCGAGTTCCACAATTCTGGCTGGGGGTGGAGCAAGAGGGGATTATTTTATTTGGAATAGGTTTTCCCGCCATCTGGTGTGTTAGCTCCAACTCTTTGTAGCTCTATATCCTTGATAGCATTTCTTAGCCTCTCACAGGGGCTTGTGGCAACCTGGGTTGTTACTTTGGGAGACATAGTGTCACTTTTAGATTTGAGCCCCTATACTGAAAACACTTATGAGTAATCTCATTGCCTTCCCTGGGACTATTCACAAATAGGATGCACTATGCTGAGGCATAATGGCAGGATTAGGCCCCGGTTTGCGTTTTAGTTAGGGAATGGTGAGTCAGAAGCAAATATGACTTTAAAAGAACCTGGTGCATATATTTATTTTTAGGGGTTGAACTGTGCTGTCCTTACTCACCCAGAGTAGTACCCTACTCCACAAATTGTCCCATTGATTTCAGTGGGCTTACACATGGCATTAGAGACTATTCAGCATTAATAAGCATATCACAATCTGGCTTTAGGAAATCTGGTGCACCATTTCAATGTAGGATTTTCTGTATTTCTTTTGACTGGTGATTTAAGATTTCTTTTTTGTTTTTACCCCAAAATTGACAGTTTTAATTCCTACTTAAAAAACCCTCAACATTAGTAGTGCATGGGGCAGAGATTGGGAGAGGAGAGAAGGAAATGTCATGAACTGCAACTGGACTCTGAGCACCTCCAAGAGGTACTGAGGCCAATGGGAGCCAAGGGTGCTCAGCATTTCACCGGATCAGGTGCCTTTACAATTCACTTTTCCTTAGTTCTTTCCAGGCAGCCTTTTTGCTTCATTTTTGCTTTTTGCTTTTCTCAATGCTTCATGACTTAATTTTATGCATCAGATGGTAAGTGCAACCTATTGCTTTTACTTGCTCACTATTATAAATCAGAAATTGACATGTCAAGGTATTTGACTAGATGTGTAACCATGGATGTCTGTATTCCTGCCTTTTCTAAGACACCGTCTATAATGTGAAGCAAGCCTTTTCATCCACTCTCATTTATTCACTTTTGAAATGCTAATTTTTTTTAAAGGAGCTATGGTATTGACTCTGTGCTAGGGGCATGATACTGCAGTTCTTATTGACTCCAGTGGGCCTACTTACCTGAGTAAGGTCTGCAGGGCCGGAGAGAGCATTTCTATTATAATCCCTGTTTCTGACCCATTTCCAAATATATAGTTTTGGCCTGCATTTTTTCATGCTTACTGTGAGACCAGAAGAAAATTAATATGGAAAGTTACAAAAAAACATTCAATGCTTTTAAAACACTTATGATCTTTAAGATTCTCACTGAAATCATATTCTTAAATGATCCAGATACTCCATTTCACATTTTATCACAAATGGAGTAACTTCCCTGCATTGAGCAGTTTTTTACGGCCCAAAGAGGTTGCTTCCCATGTGCCCCAATACTAAAAATTAGGAATGGCAATGTAATAAATCAGCATGTGATCAAAGACATCATTCAAAAGCAGAATCAATATTTAGTTGATAGTAAAAGAACCCATCAAAATGATCAGGATTCTTCGTCTCACTGCATACATCCCAGCTTTTCTTATGAACTAGGAACTGGGCAAAAAAAGTGAAAGCTCTTCTCAGCATAAACCTCAGCACCCACATACCTGTGGAAGTGGATTGCACCGTTTTCCTCATCCATTCATAAGAGCTGTGCCTTTGACTGTTGGGAGAGATTTGCTCTGTGTTAATTGTACCTACAGGAGGTAAAACCCCAGATCCAGCAGGATTCAGGGAATTGTAATCAGCAGAGCTGTAGGAGATCTGCCCAGGAGACGAGCCATTGATTTGTGCAGCAGTAACTGTGCTGGAGGGTCCTGGGCCATAAGTATTCCAATCCTCCCTTTGCGTGCCATAGTGAGATCCCCAAGCTCCCGAAGACTGTCCTTGGTTGTCCATACTTGGCACATGATGATATCCCATGTAATCTGAATAGGATGGAGTGGAGACAAAGTTTTGCACTGGCAGGTTGTTGTTGTTGTTGCTGCACCTTACGGATCCTGGATACATGCTGGTTTCTTTATCCAAAAGATAACTCACGTACATGATGCTCATAGCCTGGCTTTGTCTTGCCAGGACATCCTGCTCCTCACAGTGTTTGTTTGATCTCTTCCTGCCTTCCTCTTTCTTTCTCTCTCTTTTCTAGCCCCAACTGGCTCTATAAATGACTCATGCTAGCCCTGATGTCTCTTTACTACACATGATTAACAATGGTGTTACCAGGTGCTGGTAGTAACAGTTTACTAAGGTTCTGCCTGATGTCACAGATAACTGCCTGCCCCAAAATTACATTTGCATTCAAATGAAGGGCTGACCATCCAGGCAGCCCCACCTTGCTGCTAGTTCTGGTGCTTCCTTTCTCACAGATCTTTTATGTATCCACCCTGGTCCCATCCCCTTTAATACACTCTGACCTGCCTTACTCTTGGAGCCATGTTGCACATATAATTAACCTAATACTTTCTTAGAAAGCTAAAGAAATAAGCTGATTGAACACTAAGTGGTTTCTAAAGGAGTTTTTATATGAATACACTGAAAAATACAGGAAAATATGAGTAAGGAAATGCTCACCACTGTTGTTATTATTTGTTTCATGCCTACAGTATGCTCGGTACTGCACACAGCACAGGGGAAGACGGGTCCATACCATAAGGAGCTCACAGAATTAGAGTTGAGGCTCTAAGGCTACATCTACACAGCTGTACCGATGCAGCTGCGCTGCTGTAAGATCTCTCGTGTAACCACCCCAATGAGCGGCCACCGACATAGCGCTGTGCACACTGCCACTTATGCCAATGAAACTTGTATCATTCAGGGGTGTGGGTGTTTTTTCACACCCCATAAGTGGTAGTGCTGACATAAGTGGTAGTGTAGAGATGGCCTAAGTTACATTTGTCTAAAACCAGATATCTGTCAGTTCAGTAGTTCCTTCTCTGGTAAAGAGCCAGAATGTTCAATGCCAAAAATTCTCTTTTATATTGAAATCCAAGGGCTACACTATACAACACTTACTCAGTTGGCTCACACAAGCTGTCTCATTGACTTCAATCCTTACTCAGGTTGGTGAGTACTCACAAACAACAGCAGTTCTATTCATTCTAACCCGTATCACATTGGGTACGTCTATACTTACCTCCGGGTCCGGCGGTAAGCAATCGATCTTCTGGGTTCGATTTATCGCGTCTTGTCTAGACGCGATAAATCGAACCCGGATCGATCCCAGAAGTGCTCGCTGTCGACGCCGGTACTCCTGCTCCGCGAGAGGAGTACGCTGAGTCGATGGGGGAGCCTGCCTGCCGCGTCTGGACCCGCGGTAAGTTCGAACTAAGGTACTTCGACTTCAGCTATGTTATTCACGTAGCTGAAGTTGCATATCTTAGTTCGAAGTGGGGGGTTAGTGTGGACCAGGCCAATTGTTAAGGATATACACAAGAAGACATAGTGTTTACTCACATGACTAGTCCCCTTGATGTCAGTTTGAGTCTATTCCTAGGTGTAAATGCTTAGCTGTTGTGAATTAGGATTGTGTAATCACACCCAGAAGTTTAACAGAAAGACACTCTTAAGATTCAGAGGAGCCCCAAATTTGCCATCACCTCCACATAAGTTGCAATTGCTTATCTCTAATTTCCCTAAATAAATCCTGTTTTAGTGCTCTTTGGGCCATATTCTGATACCATTACTCACAATGAGTAGCATCTTACCCCATAAACATCAATAAGTGTAGCAGAATCTGGCCCTTTGTCTTTGAAAAAAAACTGTATGAACAGCTCCACTGTCATGAGCAACCATACAATAACAAACCTATATGGTATTAATAGAGCAAAACAATGCAATTAAAAAAATTCCCACTTTTAAGCTTCTAAGGGACTGTTTATAATCAACAGTGAGGGGAGAGGGGATAGATTTTTATAAATGAGGTGAAACACCTCGGCATTGTCCCTTATGAAAATACATTGTATTTTAGTTTTTGGGAAAGCAGTGTCCCCTTTAATGATGTGATACTTAATTGCACCGTTATTAATGAGCTGACATGTTAAAGGGATATGTCTATTAAACAGGTGCAAAGTATAATGACTTCTTCCTTTGTTCAGAGGTGTATTTTTTCTTTAATGGTCTTTTGCACTTTGACACTGTTTAAACTTACAGGTCCCTCCTTCTGGTTCCCAGAAGGAAAGAATCTCATCACACACCTGACAACACCTCTGCAGTTTCCTCTTACGAGAGATCAATAGCCTCAGGCCCTGGCCACATTAGGTCTTGGATCTGTGTTTGTGAGAATCTTTTTAGAATACCTTAGTAGTGCTGGGTGAGTGGTGCAAACTATTTCCCATGAATATTTGTTAAAAATGTTAAATTCATTCACTTCTGCAGCCATGTGCCCCTTTGCAGTTTGCTTCCTGTTAGTGTGTGCATCACTATTTGTTGAAAAGGAATTTATAAAATCCTGGGGGCAAATGTTTGCAGAAATTAAATTTTGTATTTGTGTACATGCGTATGTATTTATTGTATTATCATCACACCTAGGAGCCCCAGTGATACACCAGCTCCCATTGTGCTAGGTGCTGTACAATCACAGAACAAAATGGCTCTTAAACTCATCTAATTAGCTCAGGTACCCATGTGAGTTATTTGGCCATCAAATTTAACCAATAGGTATCAAATAGTTGCACAGAACTGTTCTTGATCAATCCACAGAGTTAAAGGAAAACAGAGAGAAATGAATAATGAATACATTTGAGGAAATGGATCTGGATAATCCACAAACACAAAAAGAGGTCAAACTTGTTAAATAAATGATGGCTTATGGGTCAATCATTCATCTGTACATGGCAGAGCCCTGAACATGTTATATGACACTTGATCCATCCATGTGGGTGGCAGGCACGTCAGTGGGACTCCGCGCACTGGTATAAAATCCATCTGTATGCTTTAGAGTTCCTTGTATAGATGGGTTCAAGCTGTATTGTGGAACCATGTTACAGTCCTGGGGCATACCTCTCTGCTGTTCTAGGCTGACACAGCTCCATAAAGTCAGTGGAGCTGTGCCAATTTATACCATAAGAGAAATCGGCTCCTGTTGGGAGAGAATATGTTTATAATCCAGTTTGGTTTTATCTTTACGAGCAAGATCAAGCCATATTAATTTCTCTCTCTAATTACCTTTCTGGTGTTTCTAGGGTGCCAATCATTACAGTATCAACATATTTTAAACCTAAAACATGATTAGGACCTGATTCTGTCAACTTCCTTCATGGATTTCTCTAGTGCAGGGGTCGGCAACCTTTCAGAAGTGGTGTGCCGAGTCTTCATTTATTCACTCTAATTTAAGGTTTCACGTGCCAGTAATACATTTTAACGTTTTTAGAAGGTCTCTTTCTATAAGTCTATAATATATAACTAAACTATTGTATGTAAAGTAAATAAGGTTTTCAAAATGTTTAAGAAGCTTCATTTAAAATTAAATTAAAATGCAGAGCCCCCCGGACCGGTGGCCAGGACCCGGGCAGCGTGAGTGCCACTGAAAATCAGCTCGCGTGCCACCTTCGGCACGCATGCCATAGGTTGCCTACCCCTGCTCTAGTGTGTTTGACTCCCCCTTCCAGCACCTTGGAAACAATTTTAGAACCTAGTCAATGAGAGTTGTGGGCACTTAATAGCTGTGAGGATAGGGTCCTTAGTGAAATGGCTCCACAGAAAGCTTGCTTGCTCTTTGCCGGAACTTCATTTAAGTTTCCTTTCCTCTAAAAAAAAATCCCACCTATTTTTGTACCCCTCCTCTTAAAAAACACACACAACATAACCCCCTCAAATGCAGGGGTAACAATAAATCAGCCAGAGGAAGGAGCAGCAGCCGGAGTGGAGCTCATTTACTGTAGCATTAGTCCCAGCCCTCCAGTTGCTTTAGTATGTGTATTCAGCATTATAGCCCCGTAACCCTTAGGAATATAATAAAGTAATGGCCCAAACACTGCAGGGCAGATTGGCCTCAGCAGCATAGTTTGGATTGTGATCTGCTCTTCCCCAATGTTCTGGAATATTTGGTTTCCTAGGCCTTGGCTACACTTACCGGCAAGTTCGACGGCTGGAAATCGAACTTCTGGGTTCGACTTATCGCGTCTAGTCTGGACGCGATAAGTCGAACCCGGAAGTGCTCGCCGTCGACTGCGGTACTCCAGCTCGCCGAGAGGAGTACCGCGGAGTCGACGGGGGAGCCTGCCTGCCGAGTGTGGACCAAGGTAAGTTTGAACTAATTCGAAATAAGGTACTTCGAACTTCAGCTACGTTATTCACGTAGCTGAAGTTGCGTACCTTAGTTCGAATTAGGGGGGGTAGTGTAGACCAAGCCCTAGACTATAGCAATGTTACAATTCTCTACACTACTGTCGTAACGTTGTAAAAGAAAGTTGTTTCGGATCATACTGGTGATAGCATGGCTGGCTTATTTGTAGTCCCATTTGTTATCATCATTCTATATTTTTATAAGTAAGGAAATATAAAATTCTTTAGCCAATGCCAATCTTTTAAAGCAAAAGAGTTAAGGAAAAATGAGGTTTCCCATCAGTCTGTTGTTGTCACTCTTAAATCTGGAGTTCCTACATGGTGTAGTATAAAGATCACTGACTTGTATATAATGTTTTTTTTAATCGATCACTTTATCTGTTATGATAATAACTTCCTGTTTTATAAACTGGGAATAATGAGGCTTTCCACTTTCTGTTCTGGTTTTGCAACCTGACTCCCAGAATCAGAAGCAAAGAGCAGCCTGTGTCTAGATAAATACATTCCTATTGTTTATTCCTGCATTTTTCTGTGTCTTTGTTGTGTCACACACCTATATTTTTATTTTCTGTTGGATTTTAGTTTATGTAGAGATATGTAGACATATCTGTGTATTTTTATCTTACCAAAAATTGCTCACACGTAGTATAACACTTCATGAAAATCTGTCATGCTGAGAAAAATAGTTTTGGTTTAAGCTAAGAATTTTTAAAACAAAAAATACATAATGTAAAAGGGAAAACAGAAAGACAAAAGATAATGCAGGAAATAGTCAGCCTGAAGGAGTTCCCTGCCACTATATAGTTTCTGGATGAAACAGTATGTGAATCTATTTAGTTATGTTGTACTAATACAATACATCTAAACATTGATAACAACAAGAATCCCAATTCACTTCACAGAGAGAGTCAACAGATAATGTTTTTTTAGCCCACTTGAGTTAGCCAAAGTTTCTGAGGCTCTAAGACTTGATGCTGTTTAGAGAGAGGCTCCTATCTGGGAATTGAACAGTTCAAAGTTTGGGGAATTTTGGATCCAGGGTTTTA